TTTGGAAATACTGAATTGACAGCAAGGTGATCTGAGTGTCTCCCGCCAAAACGCTTTCTATGTGCAAAATGTGCTTATGGTTATTATGAAGTTATTTTAAATTAAAATATAAGTTCAACCTTTTGGTTTCCCATAGCGAGCAAAATAAACAAACTACCTCTTTTATATATATAGATATAAATATATCATATTTCACATGTCATGATTGATTTCATTTCGTTTCAGACAAGTCTTAGATAATTGCATCAAAATACTTATTATTCTGCAAACATTGACCAGGTTTGTCCTAGGTTAGTGTCCACGAATCCAAGGTTTCCCTGTTCGCTACTAGTTACTGAGTAAAAGCGCTCCACATTTTGTGGTAATGAATGCGCTGTAAAGATGACAGTTAAATCCTACTATACAATTGGAGTAGCGAAAGCGAAAAGATTGGCGTGGATGATGGTGACTGGCTATCTTCTCATTAATCTATCAGTCCACAATTCAAGACGGCTGTGTGCAAGTAGTTATTGTGTAGCTTTATACAAAATTCAAAAACAAACTTAATAAATCTACAAGTGTTATACAAATTTCAGTGTAATTAATTATGAGATAAAAATTCAAACATTGTGGTAGGATGACATTAAGCATACAACATCGAAACTTGTTCTACGAATAGTTTATTTGGTAATAACGCCCCCACGGCTGAAAGGGCGAGCATGTTTGGTGTGACAGGGATTCGAACCGCGACCCTCAGATTGCGAGTCGAGTGCCTTAATCACCTGGCCATGCCGGGCCGCGCTATAAGGAACTTATCACAGAAGTTTCAGGTTTTGCTCATTCTAGTTTTCATAGAAACATAAATATAAAAGTAGGCAAATCTTTTTAATGAAGAAGGAAAAACTTCTAAAGTATCATTTGAAATAATTTTGCAATTTTAACAAAGCGTATTATTTAGAGGAAGTAAGAATCCCGTTTAATATGAAAAAAATCAAAGAATTAGAAATTAAAAATATTATTCTATTATTCACTGAGAAACTAGGTTACTGTGATACATGTTTAAAAAAGAGAGAGGAGCTTTTGGAGACGTTTGCCAGTGAGGATACATTAAATAATCTGGTGTGGTCTTTCAAAGAAACATAAACGTAACACGATTTCTGATTAGATTTATAGTTTCTCATATTGACACAATCAAGGTTGTCAGTTTTTTGGGTTGATAAAAAATGAGTTTTGAAGTAAGGATAAAAATTATAATTTTTGTCATTTATTGAAAATTTAATTGTGGATGAACACCATAAATTTTGTAAATGTGCCGTTTTAAATAAATATCGGTTTAGACAGATGGTCATCTATATTTTAAGGAACATCAACACAGTAATGGTTTGCTATACGATATTGTGATATATCTGAATCGAAGGGATCATATAGTCTATGTTGTTGTTTGTTATTAATCACAAATCTACACAAAAGGTTATCTGTTTTCTGTCCACAACTAGTATTAAAACCCGGTTTCTAGCAGTATAAGTCCGCACACATACCACTGGGAAGGTGGGTGGGGGGTACCACGGGTTTTGGGTGGACAAAGGAAGGTAACGTCTGTGTTTCTAAACATATGTTTAACATGTGTTCAGCACAATTTGCTAATAAAGAATGGAATCCATTTTACACTTGTTCGTTAGTATTTGAACTACGAATTCATGCCACAGGCTATATCAGAAAATTTAACAAATTTAATATGGAAGTCCCCACATGTATGCAATTTTCTTTACTCATTTTGGTGAACATCTTGAATTTCAAATTAAATATAACTTTCAGCAATTTGAAATGTAATACATGACTTATTTGATCTCATAAATGTATATTTAGACACCTAATCCATTATCTTAGATAATATACAAGCACAGATATGAGCGACTATTTGGGATGTTTTCTGATAGGTTGTTTTTATTGAATTTTGCGTAAAGCTACTCGAGGACTATCTGTGTTAGCCTTTTCTAATTTTGAAGTGGCAGACTAGAGGGTTTAGCAGCTAGTCAACACCTCCAACTCTTGGGCTACTCTTTACCAAGTAATAGAGGGATTGGTTGTCAAGTTATAATGCCCTTACGGTTGAAAGGGCGAGTATGTTCAGCGATGGGCCTCGATCCCTTGACCCGCAGGTTGCGAGTATAGCTTCCTAACCATTAGGTCATGTCAAGTCTCCTGATAGGAGTTAAAGGAAAAAAATTGCAACATGGGGATTATCATTTTACAGACATAGTTTGTTTGTTTGTTTTTAATTATGCACAAAGATGCTCAAGGGCTATCTGTGCTCTGCCCACCACGAGTATCGAAACCCGGTTTCTAGTGTTGTAAGTCCGCAGACATACCGCTGTGCCACTGGGGGCGCTACAGACATAGAGGAACAATAATATCATTGTTATCAAATTTTAACAATAAAGACACCCCACATTTACTATATATTAATGATATATATATATCTATCTTTAATATGAACTATTATCGATTGGGATTTTTAGTCTATATAAAAAAAAGATTTTAAACTTTATATTTTGGATTTTATTATTTCTCTGGGTTTCCTTTTAACAGCTTTTATTTAGTTCTGATTTTACAATTTTTATAATGCTGAAGAATAGCTTATAAGTCATGAAACCGGTGTGGTTCGATAATAATAAATACTTACTATTTAAAGATTGCAAGGATAAGTATTCTTTACTGTTTTTATATTGATATACATGTATATATACGAGTATGTGGAATAAAACAGGAAATGCTTCATGACTACTTTGCTACTTTTCTATTGCAAAATTCTTGTATTTGATTAGAACGGTTTAAACTTTCAAAAACATTACGTACAAAATGAAGGTGTTTTCAGTTTTCACTTCTTGTTTCGTTGTCAACATCCAAAAGAAAGTTTAAAGTGAAACTATGTTACATCTGTTACTCGGAAAATTATAAGCTCAGGTAGAACAATTACACAGATTTCAAGTAAGTAAATTGACACGCATGAGCAAACAAATCGACTAACTCTATAACGCCATTGTAAATATATGAAGGTATAACTTGATAAAAATCACAGAATACAAAGTGATTCTACGAACGAAAGGGAATTAATCGTATTTTCTCGAGGTCATCTAGTTGGACAATAGGAGATTACCAGATCTCTTGAAATACCGCTATAGACAGAAAAGTAGGGGGGGGGGAGGACAACGCAGTTCCGTCGGAAACGTTTCTAGTAGATTCCGGCTTCCAAAACCAGCACTGCGAGGAGAAGTGTGGAGAATGACCCACATTAAGCGGTCGCTACTGTTACAGTACAGGTGTAAGTGTGACGTAGTACCAACAGAAGTTATCTATGTATCATGGGCTACAATGGCAGGTTAACGAAACAGAAGTCCATTAGCGAGCATCATAGATGCTATCACATCATCTTCTTTCTGGAACAGTAATTTCCTAGAAGTCCAGGTTTGCACAATTCTCCAGCAGTGGATGTACCCAGATTTGGAAACTATTTTCCCAAGAACTTTCGTCTAACTGTCTGGACGTCATGACAAAATACGGCGGTATTTGTGTTATTATGTGGGGAGAGCTGGACGATCCTAAATGGTGTTATGTGAAGTGTTGGTCACGTGTGCTTGATACCTCACAATTGACGCCATCAATGTATTCTGCCTGTCTAAACTAATGACCAGTTTAAAAAACAAGGCATCGTTTCAAGGAATATGGTACTCATGTTCATTCAGTTGAGTAACAAAACAATGTTTCGAAAGATCGTCCATTAACATCTGCTATGTTATGTACATGTTTAGCTTTGTTCTGTTTTTAAACTTATATTGTCACAAAATATTTTCTTCTGGTTTAGCCAGTAAGTTTAGTAACTGTTATGTTTGTAAATTTTTAAACTAAAGAAATTATTTATTTTTTACAACTTTTCACGCCTTTTCTCTTCAAGTTCAGTTTTGAGTACACAAAAATTCTCAACCTAGCACAGAACCTAAACTTGGCTTAATGGTTGTCAGAACACCACTATTCATTTTACTAAATTATTTGAAGTTCAAATAATAGCTGAAAGAAATTGTTGAAATAATGTTTTTCTCAACAATTAGAAAATGTGCATTGGTAAAAAATAAATATCGAGCAGCTTTCGTTTTAATTTGTTTATGAATAAGAGGCAGACAGGTAAGGCTTAAAATACCAACAAACTGTTTTCTTTCAAAAAGTAATCAAGATTGATTTTCATAATTCAGAGATCATTACTTGTTGTTAAAAAAAACCCTTTTGAAGTTACAAACATTGTAAGATGATTGAAAGATTTTCTTTGTAGAAGAAAGAAGTAAAATCCAAAATATTATTTGGTATGACATTTTTGCCTTACGAGCTTCATTCAGTTGTCTGTTTGTTTTTGAATTTCGCGCAAAGCTACACGAGGGCTATCTGCGCTAGCTGTCCCTAATTTAGCAGTGTAAGACTAAAGGGAAGACAGCTAGTCATCACCACCCACCGTCAACTCTTGGGCTACTCTTTTACCAACGAATAGTGGGATTGACCGTCACAAAAAGTATATAAAGCTTATGATACTTTTTTCTTTATTTAGGGATAACAATGACCGTTCCAAAAGGTTCAATGAAAGCAAGCGCCAAAGAAGAAATTTATGTCGCAGTACTTAGAGATGACAAAGATCGCCCAAGATTAACAGGTGATTTACTTTACCTAAAACAGTATACCTTCTGTTATAGCTATTATTACAATTCTGCAATATATTCTAATTTCATTGTGAAATAAATTCATATTAAATAAGCCATTGTTTAAATATATTACTGTTTTGGGGGAACATTAAATCTTCCCTTACATAGCGTGCCGAACTACGGATCTGCTCGTTCAATGTTCACGTCCCATCACCTTAAAAAAAAAATATATATATATACTGTGCACTATGGAGATTTGTAAGGGTGTCAATCAAATCCCAATATTCGGCCAGACAAGAGTAGCCCAAAAGTTGGCGGTGGGTGCTGTTGAAGCTGTCTTCCCTCTAGTATGTCAGTTCAAATTTAAGGATGGCTAGCAAATAGGCCTTGTGTAGCTTTGTGCGAATATCAGAAAAAAAGAAAAATATACCATGATATAGATTTTAAGTTAAATTTTTGTTATTTACATTCCGTTTGATTTTGTTATTGTGCTGTTTGATAAAGGAATCTTTATTATATATCTGTACAAACTTTTTCAATTCAAAACTGTTAGAAAATGCAGTTTTCACCAATTTAATGTATTTTTGATATTGTAAATTGTACCAACATTTACAATAAGCTATATCAAATAAAAGAAACAGTAAGAATTTCGCTAATTATTTCACATCCCCAATGTGCTCCAGCGTATTCATATAGTACTTTAACTACCAATTCAGTTAGAGTAAATTAAAAACTCATTAGGAAATAATTTTATTAAAATACTATTATAAATATTTTCTGGAAAGATTTCTGCCGAGGTATTTTACCATAAAATACCATTACACAAAATGTTTGATTTAACTTTCTATTCCAGACAAACAAACTCTACTGAGTCCCGTCATTCAGTGTGGACCCACAGGTGTCAGTTTGAGAAAACCAGTCATCATCAGTTTTCAACACTGTGCAGTTGTCGATCCAGAGAGTTGGTGTGTTGGTGTGTACAGCAGCGAGAGCAGCACAGAAGAAGAAAATCCTGTCTGGAAAGTAAGTTATCATTACATATAGAATAAAATTTATTTATACTAGCTAGGTTACAATGTTGTGGAGATGGTATGGATTATTTTCTTATCACACTAATAATTTCATATGCTTTATGTACAATTCCTTAAGTTGTTTCTCTTTTTAAACATATGAAATAATCAAATAGACGTTTTTTTTTGTTTTTTTCAGTATACTTATTTTCATCACATTTGTCTTTATTGAACTGCTAAGTCATAAATAAAGGACTTATCTAAGCAAGCTAATCATAAACTCTGCTGTCTAGAAAGTCACTCGATTTCGAAGTATTTCAGATTGGATATGGTAAAAACCTTGAACTGTATTTTATTATTTATTCCTAGAAAATAGTTACATTGAACAATGAAACCATCAATACGCCTCTATATTGTCAACTGGACTCACGTCAAAGCCATCTGGTGACTGATCAGCTAGTCAGATATGTATTGGTAGGTGAATCTCAACCAGACCGCAAGGCCATAAAATCTCTCATTCTTGCAGCGTTTGCACCTGCTCTGCATTCTTCTGTGGATTACAATCTCCGTTTATACTGTGTGGAAGACACAAGAGCAGCTCTTGAGGTGTGGAGAAATTGAAAATTCTTATTGTGTATTTCATTATAATTTTCTTTTTAAAATAATAATTTTGCTTTGTAGGCACCACATATAACATTTGTGATGGTACAGTTCACCATTGTCCAGGTACTCATACATGGAGCATGACTTAAATAACCAATTGGTTACTTATTGTTAAATAGAGAAATTTCATTGGCAGATCACCCATATACATTTTTAAGAAGTAGGATTTGGTGTTTTTTTGTTTTTTGTAGAATATAAAATAATTCAAATAGTGTATCTTAATTTACTTTGGGTGTTAAAATCAGATAATATCTTGGGTAAGGAAACAAGTATAAGGAGCTAAATTGCACCATCAAACTCATTAATTGATTAAAAAATCCCAGCCGTTTATAATTATGATAATGATTCAACAAGATCTTTTTTTTTATCAAATTCTTTCATCTGAACTCACTCCATAAAACTCTGATTATTAACTAATATTATTATAGTCTGCAGAGGTTTTCTACTACTGTGTTTATTAGTTTTATAAAGTAAAAAAAAATGCAATTTATCATTTTGAGGTAAAGTTATTCCAATACAATCATGTACATGTAAAAAGGTGAGAGTCCAAGTAAAATGTATCATTTAACAGTGCTTGATTTACCTACTTAGGGTGTGCTTCAAATAGAGAAGAAACTCAGAGGAAAACTGATTGATAACCCCAAATCTATGCCATTTCAAGATGGAGGATCAAATCTTTGTTTATGTCTAGAGGATGTTGGGCCAGGATGGCGGTGCAAGCCTGGGGCTAATTATCAGGTGAGTCTTTTAAACTATTAGAAGTTAAAAAAATACACTATGCATTTAAACCTTGAGAATAATATTGGTTTCACTGTAGTAACATCCAGTCTTGTTGTGAATTATAAGAAATCTTTATGCTCATATGACATTATTAAGCATTAAAAAGTCATGGATTAAATATTTTCATACAAATCTTAATTTAGACTTCTTCTTTGTAAAAGAGTGTAGAGTTCTCCAACTGGATCCAGCACATGTAAATATAAATCAACACTGAATAATAACCATTATAATTTATCTAGCTAAGCTTATAATACTTAAAATTGTGGCCCTCAGTTGGTCATTAGCATTGACATTTAATTTACTAGTATTATGCAGTACAATTAACAGGTAACTTCACTCTATAACTTAAAAAAACCTTAAATACTTGTTTTTTCATACCAAATTGTAATTATTAAGAATTAAGTTGCCTTTACAAAATAAATTAAGGGTTTTTATTTGTAAACATTTGAAAAATACAAAGAAGTGATTAAAAACATTGTATGAGAAAGAGAGTTAAGTGGCCAGTTTATTCTAAACTACCTTCATTGGAACTTTCATTGGTGAAGGTTGTTTGGCTGAATTGTTGAGCAACTAATGCTTTTTCCCTTATAAAAATGTCAAACTTTTCTGTGTTTCACATTTTATCTTGTTGTATGATTACATTTTGTTTATAGTTTGTTATCATAGTTTTTCTTAAATAATGAAAAAATATTAATAATATTAGTCTGTTGTTTTAGCTACAGCTCTTTCATGAAATTAACTTTTATTTTACAAGTAACTAAACAGTTCAGCAAATTAGATAAATAAAATACCACTTGTGATGAAAAGTAAACATGAACTAAAATGAAAATGACATTTCATATGGGGTTGTAATTAGATTAACAAAAAATGTTAATGTACTTCACTTTACAAATTAACATCTGACTTTTATTTTTTGCAGGAAATACCATTCCAACACGTATGGAGCACAAGACAAAATCATCTTCATTGCTCTTTCACTTTAGAACACATTGATCGCTCTTTGCAGACTATTAGCTGTCATATTCTTGTGTACCAACGAGGAATTCAAGCTCATCGCCAAATCCTTCGTATAAACACCGATCTTCGAGAGGTAGGCCATATTAAATATCTATGTTGTATTAGTTCCTTAGATTTGTTTCTGTTGTTAAGCCACATAAACTACTAATCTTAAAAGTTATAAAAACAAGAAAGTACACTGGATTTTTCCACATTAAAACTTGCTATATTAAGAGTTTTAATGTAACTTAAATTCTGTTTTTTTTTCTTATTTTCATTAATCTTAATTAATACTAGTCATTCTTGTTAATCTTGGAATGTTCAGAACTGTGTTATCAGTGTGGCAGTCTGTGTTTTTAAAGATGTCTAATTTTTAAGGTAAATTAATAGATATGTGACAAAAATCCAATCTGATCAGACATTATACCATTCAATGAAATACATTACAATTGGATATTGATTTTGCAATAAATCAGATAGCATTTCCATCAATGAATTAGCTCAAACTTTTACATGGATAAGACACTACTTGTACGTGCATCACACTTAATGGGTATTACATCATCTAACCAACTGGTGCTTTCTACTAAATTCTAAACACAGTAGCATTTTTTCCCAATATTAAAGAGTGGGACCCCTTATACTCATAATCATCAAAATACAGATAATCTTTATATAAGTTAAATAGGCATCATGCCCACCTGTTGTGTTGGCACTGTATATCACAGGTTAAAGCTGTAGCAGAAATAGCAAGCACAATCCAAACAAGTCTCAGAGGAGGGGTCATTGGTGTAAAGCATTAATAACACCACATGGCACATTCCCTTAAAGAGCCTACAATAGCTGTTCACTCATATATTGACACTGTACACTACTTTTTGTGTGGTAACTGTATCCCAGGGTTTTTATAAATTGTTTTCATAAAACAATGATGAAGTAACTAGTTTAATAGTACAATATAATGAAGTAGCTGTAGTGCATTTCCAATATGCATGGCCATATCTATTGTCTTATCTAATATCAGGAGCTAGATATCTGATATACAACCAAAACTACTGTTTGTCCCATCCTTATAAATTAATAGAAAAGAATTACTATCATATTATTTAATACAGAATAAATGTAATGTTTTTTGAAAAATAAATTATAAACTCACAAGAATGATTTTGCATTTTTTTTTATGAAAAATGCAAATATTCATGTACAAAAGGAATACCTTGAAATACTTTTTTCTTTAGAAAGTAATAATGAAATGTTTTATTTCTGATCAGTCCAAGGGTTACTGCATCATTTGTAGCAATGTTAACAATGAAGAAACTAACAACTCTTAAGTACATAATTAGCTTGCATCTTTTAACTTTTAAATTTTTATAGTTCAGGATTAATTGTGTTCAGAAATCATGTATCCAATCTAAAGTTATTGCTGGTAACATTTTGGCTGATTTTTGTTGACCCATCTTTTTAGATCATGGTGTAGGTCAATGTTTATTTACTAAAGAAAGGTTGTATGCAGTTTAAACAGTTAACCAAAAATACAACTCCATGTTTGTTACCTATTTCATATAGAAACCTCCAGCAAGCCCAGCTGTAAGTCTGTCTATTCCTCTAGGATCTACAGTTACATCTGGAAATGGCAACAGTCCTGTAGTGTCAGTTGATCCTCCAGCTGAAGGGTTCAGGTGGGTGAGGTGTCATTACTTGGCTTCAATACAACATAATTTCAGAAAATAAATCTATTAGCTTTTTGTACAGGGCTAGTACTTATTCCAACAGAATTGTTGAAGACAATGAACATAGTGGGACTAATGTCAAAAAGTAATTCTGGTAGTTCTAGCAGAAAGGTTTAGTATTGCAGTGTTTGTTGACTTCCTCAATATAATGTGACTTCAAAGAGTTGTCATCTTCAACAGTCAAACATAATTTCACACAGTAGATGGGTTTTTAAAAAATATTAATGGATCCTAATAATTATAAATATATATAAAAAATAAGTAGAATAAGAAGTCACTTTTAAACTTCAGTTAACGTAAGTAAGACAAAAAAAAAGTTTAAATATTGATGTTTATACTGATTTTGGGGTTTTGTAATAAACATTTTAACCTTTAACATAGTTTTTCACTGCAGATATCTTCATTTGTCTAGTTTTAAACTGCAAAATAAGTTTTGTATTTGCATTTAGAATAAATATTTCAATAACTTAGTGAATAATAATAGTTTGTTAGAAGTCATGGAAAGTACCTTGTGCTCCTGGTCAACAGGTAAAATTTGAAGTACTCCACATAGCTCAACATTACAGTAGTTACAAAGTAAAATACATTTGACTTAAGAATATGTCTTACAAGAAAATAATTTCATAAGCTTTTATTGTCACCAAAATTACCCATTTCTCAAAACATTTATACATAAGGTCCAGTCTGTTATTGGATATGTCACATTATATAATATAGGTTGCTTGTGATGTGTGATGAACATGAAAAAATACACATACGCATAGTTTTTAAGATATCTGTGGTGATAAACACACAAAAGGATTGGTTGAGTTAATCATACATTTTTGAAACAGTAATGGTGAGCAGGGCCTAGTGTAGTAGTTCCCAACCTTTTCACCACCAAGGACTCCTTTTATTATTATATTTTTCCCCACAGACTCCATGCTTTTGAAAGATTCCATCTACTCAACAAACTGTTTTTATTAACTAATAACTAACTCGTCTCAGCTTTTTATGTGTTATTATTCTGTGTCCTTCTGTGTATTATTTAATTTAAAAATAGCTCACAAACCCCCAATATTACCTTTTCGGGCCTAAGGTTGAGAACCACTGGCCAAATGGTTAGCATGCTGGACTCTGGAACCAAAGTTTCATGGTTCACTTTTGGTTACTGTAAATTGTTTTAATAAAAAGAACACATTACGCTGAGCATGAGGTAGCTGTACCTACCACATAAGAGTGCTGATAAAATTCCACTATTCGGTCTGACAACAATAACCCAAGATTCAGCAATAGGTTGCATTGACTGGCTGCCTTCCCTTCAGTTTATCACTTCAAAATAAGGAACAGCTAGTACAGATAGCCTTTGTGTAGCTTTAGCAAAAGAAAAAAATATATACAAGCAGTACTTTATCACAAAACAAAACATCTACATAAGGTAGTTAATTTTTACATCTTGTATTAATAACTTATTGTACTCTTCAGATTGTCTTCAGAAGTTCGCAAACAGCTTTGTGCCTGTCTGAACCCACCTACCAGCAGAGGAAATGATTGGAGAAGACTGGCCAGAGAACTTGGTGTAGACAGGTATAGTTTAAAACCAGATGTTAATTGAAATGTAAAGAAATTTTTAAATGTCAGCAAACATTTTTTTTCATTTTTGTAAGATGAGTAAAGATAATAATGTATTTCACAATTATCCCTTGGGTTATGACTAAATAACACTTAAAAATCATGTATAACTGTCTAGTATTAAAAATAATTTGTTCAGATGTTCTCTTTTCAGGTTTAAGTGAATTACAATAAAAATGCCATTAGCAGAGCTGTTGAAAGCTATATGTATGTAGTCATAACCCATTTAAGTGTTTGTTTTCTTCTTGTTGCAGACATTTTTTGCAGAAAGTGAAATTAACTGGCAGTTTTTCTTTTATTAAAGCAATAGAAATCATTTTGTAAATTACTTACAACTAATTACTTGTTTTGTCAAAATAATTTCCTAATAAGTTACATTGTACTATCAAAATTTCTATATGCTGATTCGAAATTTTGATTTCATTGGTATAATGTATTCCTTGAAATTCAAAAACCAAGTTGGTGGTAATGCAGTGATTAGTTTTATTGAAAATTACCACCAAATTAAAACCAACGTTCTGAGGTAATGATTAAAAAAAATGCTGTAAATTATTATAAATTATTTAATATAACCTAAAAGACACATCATATGCCAGTAAAAGCTTTTGTTTTAATTATTTAGTTGACAAACTAGAGACACTTGTCCAGAGGTATTGACAGACACAAAAAAAAAAGAGAATTATAGAGCAAGTTTATATTTTTGTTTTATTTTTAAGACTGTTTCTAAGCTTAAACTGAAGGTAACTAACACTATTGGTCCTGCATTTGATATTTAAAAAAAATGATCCTGAGTATGGAGTTTTATAATCTAAGATTGGTCTGTATGTTTATAAGATCCAAAAGCATTCCAATAAAGTTTACATGCTATCTTTCCTTACAAAGCAAACATATCAATGACTTTGAGGCACTAGCTAGGTTATGTAAAATAATCACTTATCTAAATGGATAACTTATACTAAATTTCTGGTAAAGATAACCATAATAATTTGTGTATTTTATTTTTCAGATACATTAACTATTTTGCTACAAAACCAAACCCAACAGAACACATCCTTGATCTTTGGGAGGCAAGACATCGAGAGTCAACTGCTTTAACGGATTTGATGAATTTTTTTCGAGTCATGGAGCGTAACGATGCTGCTCTTATCATAGAGAGGCATGCTGGACCTTGGCTCTGAACATTTAAGCTCATCCATTGTAACATGAGCAGATTATTTGGTGATCTAAGTGCTGAAAAATTGTCATTTCCTGTTGACCCATTCAAGAAAGGACACTGTGTTATTGTGTCCATTAAAAGATAGACAAATGGCAGAATTGAGTGATGTAAATAATAAAAAGTGAGAACTCTTACTTAATATTAAACATTATAAAGGTCATAACAACAACCATGTTGTTAAATTGTATAAGAAATGGACAAGTTTGAAATCTAATGATACTTTCATACTTGTGGACAAGATTATAAAATTTTGGAATAATCATTGAAGGTGAGGTTATTAACAACCATGAGTGACTTTAGTATTTTATTGTATTAACTGCCTGTCAGTCAGTCTATGCAGCCTTGCCTTTGTGCCAATAAATATAAGACATTTCAAGTACTTGTAGAAGCTCAAGTTCCTGTACCAATTTGTAAGGCTTTGTGGACAAGAAGAAACCTTGCATAAATGCATTGTTTTCAGATTGTTTTCACTCCAGCTAGGAGGTACAGCCTTATCCACAGGAGTTTAATTTATATGCTAGATTAGCACAGATGTAGCCCATGCCAAAGTGCGAGTTAACACTTCTATTTTCAAACTTGAATTATTTAGAGGAAATAATGATTATCTCTTTATATGAAACCAGTTCGTGCATTTTGAATGTCTTGATAGTTGAACTTTCATGTCCTTGTGGAGCAAGGTTTCCATTCAGTTAGGTTGATGCATCCACAAGCTGAATTTCCTGCATTTGGTTTCAGCATAAGAAAACTACACTACTAAAAGTAAGTTGTAACAGCCAAAAGTAGTTTAAATCCTGTTTTTATTACAAAATTGTTTTTTTTACTCTATCTTCAGTTTACTGTCTGTCAGACTAATTAGTTCATATGCCAAATAGTAGATTGGCCAAAAACAAATGGCTATTCTTCTCTGTATAATCTTCACAATGTTAATGCTGTTATACACCAGATTTGTTCATGCTATTACCATGTATATGAGTGTACAGTGCTTGTTTGTTAGTAGAACAATAAAGAGTTGCTATTAAATGAATAGTGTGTTTATTCCTACATTTTCAAGTTACTTTTATCGTAATTCACACACATTTAATTTTCTGTGTGTTTACCTTTTTCATTTTATTTATTTAACTGTTTTGTTGAAATAAACCAGGCAATTACTAACACATTTACCTATGTACTTGTGTCCTTGTAATAATATATTAATTAACAAGTGTATGAAAAAAAAGGGGGAAGCTGTACAAAAAATAGTATTTTCTAGAAAAATAATAGACCAATCTAATTTCCATAATGTTTTAGGCCCAGACTTTCTTCATGTAGTGTCTAAACATTACTAATACTGACTTTAATTGAATAGAAATTCAAACATAAACTACTGTGTGGGACATACAATAAATGTAGAGTTGTATGTGTAAAAATATTACTAATATTAATAACAGAGATGAAAAAAATAGTATACACATATTAAGAATAAGTCATATATAAAAATCAAATTGAGTTAAAGAAATGTGAAGAGGTAGGTCCAGAGAATTGAACATAAGTTTTATATTAAAGACAATTTTTAATTTAAACCAATATAGGAAAGAGTGCCAGGGGTGTAGAGAAGACAATGATCTTTACATGATTAATGGCTAATGGGAGTAGATCTTTGAAATGTGAAAGACACGTTTCTTGTCACAGAAATGTCATGATACAGGATCACTTGTTACCACTGAGTGTCTTCTGTATCCATGGAATCTTTCACAGATATGGTGACACATTTTGCCTATGTGTAATAGGTTAAAGATCACAAGGGAGATATTCAGATAAACATATGAAAGACTGATGTTAAAGTGATCTTTAGGTCCAGTAATCAATGTGCAATTATCCATCTCTTTATATGTTAAACAGCATGATCTCTCACAAGGAAATCATCCCAGAAATCCAACAAGTCATTTTGTTTACGAATTTCACAAGAGCCCATGTTTCTTGAAGATGATAGTTACGTGTGTATTTTCAAGTTCTCATCCATAATTTGTAAAGAAAATATGTTAGTAAAATTGTAGGTACATTTGTAGACAATGGAAGAGAATATAAAATCTTTATTAACCTTCTGACTTTCATCCCTCCTTAAATTTCATTTAGCAAGTATCTCTCACTCAAGTTTCTTTTCTTAACATAAGCATCAGTATAGATAGTGATAAACTCATCAGTCCAGTACAAACTTACAGATTCCCATTTGTACTTACTCTTTGATTCTTGTCATCCACCTTCCACTCCATATGGCATACATGTTTCCAAGTGTATGTTTTTATGGTGCACTTGTAGTGAGACTTTCCAAACCCATAGATATAGCCCACTTATTCTCAAGGTTATCCTACTATTATTGTAAACAAAGCTCTCCACAGAGTCACTTATACAATCCACAATCTTCACTAACAACAGATATAGCCAACTTCTTTTCAAGGTTATCCTACTACTATTGTAGACAAAGCTTTCCACAAAGTCACTTATACAATCCACAATCTTCACTAACAACAAAAATTATAATGTACAACTTTCATACTATACAGCAAAATTCAAATAAAAACCATTTTGAATGAGAAACGTGTGGTTACCCACACACACATACACTTCTTGTTTATGCTAATATCAAAATAATAACACTAAACACCTTGTCTGATCTTCAGGACATGTTCCTTGTAAGAGATTACATTGTATAACATGTGAAAATATGGATATCATACAATGATCATGGAAAATAAAGATCAGTTTGACATCAGACATTTAGGCTTATCAGAATCTTATCATCTTTTCTATTTTTTGTGACTTTTTTAACTTACTGTTCATAAGCAAGATAGGTTGCAAAGTCAGCAAAAGTCCATGAACATAGATAACACATTATGAATCATAACAGGTAAATCTGCATCACAACATTTATGAGACAAGAAGCATCATGTTTCACATCTCATTCTAGTTTTATTCACATCCTAATTTTTTTATGATTTCAGAAAAAAATTATTTTATATAATACCTGATGCACAATTATTCTTAAAACATAAATATTATTGTTTATTTTCCAACATTCATAATTTATCTTTTACCTGCAATTAAATTTTTATGCATATTTTTCTCATCCTTCATTTCTGCAATGTTATAGATGCAGTATTTTTGTACACGCAATTCAATGTCCACTATACATCCTACCCAATCAACTGTATTATTTATAATCAAATTTTTATTCTATTAAACTTTGTATTAACGACTTTCAGGTATTACTCAATGAAGAGACTAAGCCTAAAGGTTGTGGAAATTAAATTGGTTTTTAAATGAATTTTATTCCCCATTCTGCCAACAGGAAAACTGTCAAATTAGAACAGTTTTCAAGTGCATTTCTCCTACTATTCATCTTTCTAGTGTAAGTTATATTATCATATGATTTTGATTTTACTGAAACAACAAAACTCAAAGCGTATATTACTGTCAATAAACTAATAAAAACAAAAATTAAGAAAAAACACAAAAATATGGTCACTATCTTTAATTTTGTAGAATTATCTGTAAATCAAGCATTTTTTAACAATAACAGAAGTTAGCTTTCATATTCAGATGTACATTTTTGTACATAATATTTTCTATATGTGGTTTCGAAAATAAATTTCAAAGTACAAAAAAAAAGATCCATAAAACATTATATTTCTCAATTTGCTTTATTGTATAATTTTCAATTACAACATAGTTGTTTTCATTATTATGAAACCATTAGCTAAATTATCCTTCCTTCACTTTCATCTATTATACTCATGTTAACACATGTATTACAAAAAGAAAAAAAAAAAAACTTGCCATTTTACATACATCCATTTAGATTAATTCCTAAAAGCTAATAAATTATTCAACCTATTTTTTTCCATGATTTGTTCTTTTCTTCATAGTGTAGACCAATAGGGAATGATTCTGTTTCACTACAAGGACTAGCTCAATTTTATAACATTAAAGGTAGCCACCTATCAATATGTATAAAATGTCCATAATGCTTCGAGCATTTCCAACTACATACCAAACTACATGACTGTGTACTTGTGGTTTATAACATGCAGCCTGAATAAAGTTTTTGTGGGCTTCTCTATACAAAATAATTCAGTCCACAGGCTCAATTAAGTTATCAACCACAGTTATGCATCTAGGTCCAACCCAATACCAAGTTTGTGACCTCCCTGATTGAAAGTTTTACCTTCAATCATGGTTGACAATGTCAGTTGAACACCTAATAAAATTAAACAAAACAGAAATTAAAAATCAATATTATAACATTTTATTTAATCTACACGTCTGAGATTCATATGAGACAACATATGCCAGAAAAGCTAATTATAATTCATATTTCTAGGTAAACAATAATGCATCATGTGCAGAAGATTAATTAAAGCTTTTACATTTTCTGATCAGTACAATACATTAATCTACTTTCAACACATCTTAGGCTCATGTATGAGTGTAATCTGAAAACACAAATTACTCCTGGTTTCTAAAAGTCTTTCAAATTACATTATTGTGCATACACCCAGAATTTAATATAATTTAATGTGGAAGGTAAGAGTCACACAAACCTGAAGCATAATGCATGAACTTTTACATACATAAAAACGCAAGCTTTTTTTAGAACTAAGTATAAAATATTTCTGATGTTAAAACAGGTAAAACTAAACTTTTTTTGCAATTTAAAACTGTATAAGTACAAGCCAATTAAAGAACTACTGGTCAATCATCACATCCTAATTCAGAACCAGATCTGACTTTTTCAGGTTCAGCAATTGAATCTCAACACCAACCACCCTAATCATGTTCATTGCTTTTGACGAAAATTTCTTACTTCTGAAACTAGACATAAATAATGTTATTCTGTGCACTTTCACAAAGAAAGTTATTCTATTGTTGGCTACTTGAAGATGAATCCTTTAGCAAGAACAACTCCACTGCACCAAATTTTGTGGTCTCTCCACACTGCAGCCAAAGAAATCACACATATACAACTCTCTAACAGTTGTTAGTTTCATTAGTTCAAAGCTACACAACAGGCTATCTGTGCTCCGTCCACCACTGAGGATCAATACCCTAGTTTTAGCTAGTACTACAAGTCTGTAAACTTATTGCTGACCCACTGAGGAAAACATGGTAATAGAAGCTGCTCTGAAGTTTATAAAGGTACTAAAGTAGAAATATCTGTCAGGCACAAGACGGACACTGGTCTTTAACCCTACATGCATGGAGTTGATCTACTATTTACTATAGTTCCAAATTTATTAGGTTTATCTTCATGAAATTTTGCAAGCTTTTAGAAAATGTGAAAAGTTCATTGTTTACAAAATTTCAGATATGTTAATAAAGTATTTTTACCAAACATTTGCCTGAGAATTTATGAAGTCAGTCTGACTTAGACTCTGATTAGTCTGAGTGTAAGGTGATTTTCAGGTTAAGAATAAAAATACTTTTTTCGTCTTACAGTTTCATATTTCTTTTACATAACCTCTAGAACCTTCTAAATGAGAACCAGAAATTTGTTTCCATTAAATATATCTTATCTCTTATTTTCTACACCCTAACACTAACTGTAGCAAAATCATTTGTAGTGAAAGTTGAACATGCCTAACCACTAAACTGACATAAAAATAAATCTCCCAGCAAGATCACAGTTCAAGTTATAGTAAACAATGTATTAAATTAGATAACACATAAGAGGCTCACATGTATACCACGTTGCAGAGAAAAGGTTTAATTTTTCTTATCTAACCTATCAGGTTTTTAATTTAAATTTTAGACACTTTTATTAAAAATATATATCAATAAATAAAAAATATGCATAAATACAAGAAATTTACCCGTTACTGTTGCTTATAGGCATATTTTGACTCAAGAATATACTCTTAGAATACTTCATTAAGACTACTTTTTTCCACACTCTATTGGTTGTCAAAAAAAAATTAATTTATCTTTCAAATATGCATTTTCAAACCAAACAGTAAAACAGAATGCCCCAAAATACTATAATTTATCTAGCTTTCTAATTAACATATAAATAGATAAAAAACTTTATTACTTACTGAAGCACCAATAAAATCTACTTGAGAAATTGCACCTTTTACCAAAATAAATTAACATAAAGACATGATAATCACCTATTTCACAAAGTGGCCTTTCTATTGGTTATAAACATTGACCAATGGCAAGTAATCATGAGTAAGTAAGTAATTTCAAAAGCATGAAGAGTTGAGAAAAGCTTCTGTGGTAAAAAGGCACTCATATATTGTATAAACAACTAACAGCATTATTTAACCTGTCTCTAAACTCTGGATATATCCCAGTTTCTTGGAAGGAAGTGCTTGTACTAATGTTCCATAAGGAAGGGAAACCAGCAAATAAACCAAACAACTACCGCCCGATCAGTCTGACCAGCTATGTAGGAAAAAAATAATTGGAAACAGACTCTCAAATTATCTAGAAGTAACCTGAAAATTACTGGAAATCCAAAATGGATTTAGAAAATTTAGACAAACAACTGACCACTTAGTCAGATTCAAAGAAACCATTATTGATGGTTTCAACAAACATAAATGCACTGTCTCACGCATTCTTGATATAAAGAAAGCATTCGACACTGTCTGGCATGATGGTCTAAGGTTCTAGATGACAGAAAGGAACCTACCACACAAAATTATTGACTGGTTATCTAACTTTTTTGGTAAACATAAGTTGTAAAACAAATGTTAGGGGAACCTACTCAGAGTCATTAACCCCAGAGGCAGGTGTCCCCCAAGAAGGGGTAGCTAGCCCTGTCCATTCATCATGTACGCAAGCCCCTGAAAGATCCAAACTAAGTATTTTCATCTCAATTTGCAGACAATGTTGCAGTTTGGAAAAGTGCTCCCATCCCATCTATAGCAGCAACAAATATTAAGCCACAATTAAACAATATAGTAGAATACTGCCAAAAATATAGAATAAAAATAAACGTCCCGAAAAATCAAGTAGTAGTATTTTCAAAACAAACAAGACATAAAAATAACCCACCAAAACTATATATGAATGGGACACTTCTCCAGACCACAACTTCAGCTAAATTTCTAGGCCTAACCTATGACTCCAAATTAATGTGGGTTAAACATATTAATAATATATTAACAAAAGTTTGGAAAAGAACAAATTATGCAAGAAGTCTAACTGGCAAAAACTATGAAACCACACCAGATAATATCATAAAAATATACAAAACATATATTCGACCAATCATAGAATACGCATGCCCAGAATGGATAAACATAACACCTAAATAGATAAATAAATTACAAACAATACAAAAGTCATTAATTACAACAGCCTATAAAGTACCATGCAGCACATCATCCAAATTCATGCACAATTACACAAACATACAAAATATCACCAACAGACTCTTGCATAATTCTCTAAATTACTTTATGACAAATTTACATAAAAACGACCTACTGTGTGAACTTAACCGCTACTAAGTACATGATGGAAATAGACCTAAGCACCTCTTGCCACTTAACATATACTTCAGTTAATCAGGCCACCTAATGCTAGACTGAACAACTTACATTAGTTTTAAAGTAAGTTAAAAACATTTAAAAGAGTATTCATATGAAATGTTCTTAAATTATGATCAAAACTAGTGAAATGTGTGTTACATTCTGAACTGTTCATGATGTACAGGACAATGTAATATCAAACAATAAGCGAAGGTGTATACAATCACATGAATGTAACTGTTGATACCTACATGGACATTGCCCTGAAAGGGGTCGGAGTAAGTGCAGTTTACTCTGACCCTCATGCTGTATCCCCACACACATTCTTCTGCAACCATACATCATCGTACAGGAGGAAGGAAAAGGTCAACGAACCTGACCCTCCCAGGTTTAACAGACCTAAATACCGACAAAGTGCAGAGATCTTTTGCGGTGGGTGTAACAAATTTATTGATATCTCAGATAATAAAAGTGGGAGATTCTTATTTTAAATTCTGACCAGTAAATATGTGTAGTTGGAGTTTCTAAATGATAAACTTTCTGAAACCCATATAACAGAAGAAAGAAAATCTAAAAAGGAGAATTCAGAGCAAAGGGAAGTGAAGATTAAATGAATTATCATACATTTCCTTTTTCCAAATTAAGAAATTAAAACTTGAATTATAAACCATGTTTTGTTGCCAAATTATAGACATAAACTGGTATTAAAGCTATTTAATTAAATCTTGAATGTAACTCTGTGAAAGGTCTATACACTTTTACCCCTACCTGCTCTCAACCATAAACAGTATTCTGCTTTGTTTATAACATGCTTGAATCTATAAACATCTTACATTATAAAGCTTTAAAAAAGAAAACTATTTACTCCAGAAGTGACCACCATCTTTCATTCTACTATTATTTAAATATACTAGAAAACATGAACTACTAATACATATTTAACCACTAAATACTTACCATCTCTCAACCTGTGTGTAAAGCCTAAGCCAATTTGGCTGCTGTTGTTTATTTTAGCCTGAAAGAGAATACATTTTTCATTATAAAACATGTTAAAAATTTTATCAAGATTTTTCCAAACTAATCTACATGAAACTTATTAGAAGTTAAAAGACTTTGCCATCCATCATCACTTTATTTTGAAATACAGGCTAAATAACTTTTGGCTATCATACACTCTGTACACTTCACATCACGAGGTAAATATTATGAATTTGTTTTATGATAAACATTCTAAGATCCTTATATATCCAAAAGCTAACATAAGTTCAATATCCATTATACCCTTTCTAGTACTTCTGAGAAAGTTCGATGACATCTCTGCATTTACATGATTTTAAAAACATTAATGAAAATTCCATAAATATATATGTTTGCTTGAACCTACATTTTTCTTTTGCTTTCATTACAGTAATTTTTTTTCTGTTCATTATCTATTAATCAACTTAAATCCTTGCAACCTGATAGTATTTATAAAAAAAATAAAATGAATTATTTACATTATAATAAAGAAAGCTTCTAAACTTCTTTTTCTGAACTTTCAAAAACCACAAATCAAAGATAATTTATCATATTATCTTCTTTCTAGCTTTGTAAATATAATCTTAGTTCATTTTTCAAAAATATTATTTTCTTGTTTGTCTATTCTTTTAGTGTTTCATCTAAATGCAGTTCCCAATCTCCTGATCTATTTAAATAGCAAAGACAGAAAATCATTTTATTTGTTAAAAAAAATTAAATTCTAAGATTATAAATTATAGGTTTCCTAATT